ACTACGACTACAACTACAACTACCACTACCACTACCGCTGCCACTACCGCAGCCACTACTTCTATCATTACGGCAACGACAGGTACTTCCACTGCCACCGCTGCAGCTGCTGGTCCAGCTGGGGTTGTGGTGATGTTCAGACCATGAACACTCCATCATGGTGGTTAGGTGACAACGAAGACACGACTCCTGTTGCTGGTGATGGCAGAAAACCTGTTAGGGTATAGTTCGGCCATGACCATGACTGCGATGATGGTGAGAGTAGCGATGCTCGCTGATCCTGATAGTGAAAATGATGACGACGCTGCCGATGCTGGTGACGGCGATGGTCCAAAACGTCACCGCTGCTCTCAGCAGAGTCACCGCTGGCATGGAGCTTTGTCGAACCTTTTCCCGCTGCACGGCTCACAGCATAGAAGGCCTGTCTGTACATAAAGCTATTTCATTCAGCCATGCACAAAAGCCAGGGAACCCAATACCGGCTTCGCTAATATAGGAGCCTTAACAGCAATTCGAATTGGGTTCTGAGGTTCATAGTAATTTAATATACATACTCAGCAAATCATACTTTGGCTCCTACATTACTACACAGTATTGGGCTCTCTGGGAAGCCGGCCCACGTCTCAACGACTGAAGGCCGAAGCTCACTCATGGCCGTAGTTCCAAATTCAGACGCGCAGGTCAACAAAAGCTCCGGATGCCGCTCTACAGGATCGAAGCAGTACATGCATAAGGCTTTAGGGTTTGGGGTTTAGGTTTAAGTTTTAGGGTTTGGGAGTGTTGTGTGGGAGTCGGGAAGCTGTACATATGAATTTTCCCTAACATGGGAATTCCATCTTGACAGTGTATTGCATGGCGGCCTTGTTGTAAGGACTCGCACATGGGAACTTAAAATTCTCAGGACTGCGTCACTGTGGCGCAGACAGTTCCAGGTGTCGGCGAGTAAGTCCTACAGCAACAACCCTAAACCCCGAAGTCGCATTCAGCGCCGCTGTGCGTCGGTTTGGGGGTCGTGATCACAATGCCCAAGCTCCCGCGACCACCGAAGTGCCAGGCGGATGCTCCCAAAACCTGGAGGCCGTGGAACATGCTGGCTTAGGGCATCGGGGTTCCCCAGCAGCCCCTTAACAATAAGGGTGCCACATGTTTCTCATTACAACATAAGCCTTAGTACTTTGGAACCATATAGTATAGAACCCGTCTAGAAGCCTTATTCAGAAGACCCTGGGTTCACCAGAAGCCCTGTAATACTCATAATAAAAACAACAATAGCAACAATAGTAATAACAACAACAATAATCATCATCATCATAAAACTACTCATAATAAGAGTAATAATGATAATAATAATAATAATGATAATAATAATAAGAATAATAATAATAATAAGGGTACAGCTTTGTCCTCGTATTCGGCTTCAATCAGGAGACCCTCCAAAACAAAAAAGGGCACCGGGGTACCACAGGGAGATCCAGGCTTCTGCTGCAGTTCGCTTCGCGATACGTGGGTTTCCGAAAATAGGGGACCCTGATGCAGCACCCTAAGTAGTAGGATCCTTATTTTAAGGACCCCCAAATAAGGTACCCCTGATTTTCGGAAAGTCCATACCTCGCAGACTACGTCTCCTTCATGGGTTCGGCTTCTTATGCCTTCACACGGTTTAGGGTTTAGGGTTTAGGGTTTCCCTGGTTTAGGGTTTAGGGTTTAGGGTTTCACTGGTTTCGGGTTTAGGGTTTCGCTGGCTTCGGCTTTAGGGTTTAGGGTTTGGCTTTACCTCATACCGTGTACATGTATATTGAGGTATGCAGGTAGCCAAAACATGCAAATAGATGTATAGACAGACAGAGGAATAGGCAGATACATAAACAGATAGGCAGATAGGAAAAAAAGGTAGATACACAAACTTACATTGCATACAGGCAATGATATGTCTGCATCTGCATGTCTGTGTGTGTGTGCGCGGCGCAGTATGTGTGCATACATATGTGTATGCATGTATGTATGTATGTATGTATGTATGTATAGATAGATAGATAGATAGATAGATATACATACATACATATATACCTTTATAGAGTTTTAGTATATGTATGTGAGTGAGTGAGTGAGTGAGTGAGTGAGTGAGTGAGTGCGTGAGTGTGTGAATGAGTGAGTGAGTGAGTGAGTGAGTGAGTGAGTGAGTGAGTGAGTGAAGTGGGGCGGAGTGGAGTGAAGTGGCGCGGAGCGGAGGGAAGGGGAGGGGAGTGGAGTGGTGTGACTGGAGTGGGTGGAGTGGGTGGAGTGGGTGAGTGGGTGAGTGAGTGAGTGATTGGTTGGGTGGGTGGGTGAGTGAGTGACTGACTGACTGACTGACTGAGTGAATAAGTGTATGCGCAGGCGGTATATAGTTGCACAGGCATTTCACACATACTGCAGTCTTGTGCCTACGAAACTGACAATCCCATGAAGCCGTCCGACTGCTTGAGCTTTGTATTGCGCATAGTATGGCTTGCACCATATTGGTAGGGGCTTGTTGCGTTTAGGGGTCTTAGGGTTTAGGGTTTAGAGTTTAGGGTTTCTGGAAACAGGTTTTTCACTGCTGTAGCGGTGTCAGACATGGCTGCTTAAAACACACATCAGTGATTGCCGATTCATGAACCGGCAGGCAGACAGGCAGACAGAAAGATTGGCATCAGCTCATTACTACATCTAAGTCGTCTTGCAGGTTGCAAAGTAGAGCACTCTGATCTGGGGCATAGAACATGGTGTGGTGCTTCATTCATTGCCATATCCCGCTCTGTCTGGGTGTTTGCATCTGCAAGCGTGTCGGATCCCTCTGTAGAAGTTGTCGAAAGAATAGTACGTTAAACAAGCAAATACAACGTTCTGAGGTTGCACCTGAAGACTGGGTTGTACTAAAACCCTAAACCCCCAAACTTTAAACCCAAAACCCTACACCCTAAACCCCTAAATCCTAAAACCCTAAACCCCTAAACCCCAAACCCCTAAACCCCAAACCCCTAAACCCTACACCCAAAACCCTGAACACCTAAACCCTAAAACCCTAAACCCCTAAACCCTAAACCCCTGAATCCCTAATCCCTACACCCTCTTCATGAGGTCGAGGAGCCTTTTTCAGCGCTGCCCATGCTTTCCAGTCGAGCGGAGTGGAGCCCCGACCACTGTCTGCGGGGAGGTAGATTCCTTCGGGTTTTGGGGCATTTAGGGTTGGGGGTTTCCCAAAATAGGGGACCCTAATTCATCAGGAGCCCAAAAAAGGTACCCCTTCTTTTTCGGAAACTCCCATTTAGGGTTGGGGGTTTAGGTAAGGTAAGGTTTTGGAGTTGAGGGCTTGGGGCTCCGGCGCATTGGGGGGTGTTAGGGTTGAGGGTCCTTCACTGTCGCTGGAAGAGGAATCGAGGCTGTCGGGCCTCTTCTCAATCCCGAGTGATGAATCGCAGGACGTCATGGGCAAGTGGGAGAGGGTGAGCAGCATCGTTGCGGCCTCTCCTGCCATTGCCCGGAAGGTGCCTTGAAAGCTACACTCGGATTGCGTTGCCAAGGTCTCCTCTCTGAGATTGCAAGCAGAAAGCTCGCGAAGATACACCGGAGTGCGACACAGCTGCCAGGGCGCGAAAGCAATCAGCAGCAAAAACAGAATTAGCCAAGTGTCACCTTTATCACAACCGGCATCACTATCACTATCGTTCTCGTCACGACCATCGTCCGCCTGACACTTCTGAACATCATCATCACCATCAGCAGCAGCCGCAGCAGCAGCAGCAGCAGCTGCTGCGACACCGACAACGACGAACATCCCGACCGCGAGGACAACCCCGACAATCACGACCACGACGCCTACTGCGTCTGCTCTCTCCGACTACGACTATTAGTACGCCCCGCTGTCGCGGCTATTGCTGCTGAACATGCCTTCCGACACGACGAACACCACTACAGTACTGGTCCAACTGTGGTGGTGGTTGGTGGCGATCATAGTGGGATGGAGCTCGTGCTGGTGATTACTTCGGCGTTTCTGGTCATTACGATGATGATGACCATGATGATGGCGATGATGATGATGATGATGGTGATGGTGATGGTGATGGTGATGATGATGGGGATGATGGTGATGATAGTGATGATGATGATGATGATGAGATGGCGATGCTGATGATGAGATGGCGATGCTGACAATCATCATGACGACGATGACGACGACTGCGACGACGATGATAGTGCTAGTCAGGGTCGCATTTTTAGAGATTTGCAAGCAAGCGTCCCGTGAACCATAAGCCCTTTAGGTTTCGCGTTCATGGTTTGGGGATTCGGGAATAACCCGACCCCCTAACACGTAAATCCTACAGGCCCTAAATGTTAAAGTCGTAAATCAGAGAAAGCCAAGCCAGGGACCATGGTCGCCATCGGCGGCACGTTGATGGTAGGGACTTTGGAAAGTGGCCTGAAGAGATATGGATGAAGGAACACTGCGGGACCATCCACCATCTATGCAGATCCCTAGATTAAGGGAGCCCCATGGCGTCTGATCTTGGCCCCGGGATTGAACATATGGGCAGTTCGCTAGGTCAGGGCACTGCCTTTGGATCTTTCGTCAGCATTAGGAAAGCCCACCACGCGAACTTAAGCAGTGCAATATGGTTAGGGGATATTGGGGTTTGGGGTTTTCGGGTTTAGATTTTGCAGTTCCGTGGTTTGCGGTTTTTGACTTTGGGCTTAAAAGGTACTACTACTACTACTACTACTACTACTACACTTGCTCTTAGAACCTCTGGAACTTCGCGGGCGGATCGAGCTGGTTGGATTCTTGCTGTTCGGGTTGACTTCTCTGAACCCGATTCTGTCGAAGTCCACTCAGTTTAGCATTTTCGGGTCGACACTCAAGTTAAGGATTTAGGGTTTAGGGTTACTCTCAGTAAGCCCGCCACACAGTCAAGCCCCAAAATCAGAATCAGTCCTGAACCTCTCCACTCTTCCCTCGATAGCCCTAGACCCGGAGCCCTACACACAAGCCCATGAGAAACGCAACTCTGAACACCAACACCTAGGCCAGTACATGCTAGATCCTTGCCACAAACCTCCGGGGTCCAGAGTCTAATGGGAAATAAACCCTAAACCCCTAAACCCCAAAAAGAAATCTAAGCCCCTATACTGTGGCTGCCCATGGTCCATCTCTGAAGACCTGAGGACCCTTTTCAGCAAGCAATGGGTTTTCGGGGTTAGGGTTCAGGGTTTAGGGCAAAGTTTAGGGTTTAGGGTTTTAAGTTTAGGGCTAAGGGTTCAGGGTTTAGGGTTAAGTTTGGCAGGCTTTTCAACGATGTCCGCAGGGCCATGGCATGTAGCTGCTTGGACAGTATCAAGACAACCCTTGCAGAATGCCCACACACGGGGGTTTCCAAAAATAGGAGACCCTAATTTAGTACCCTGAATAGTAGGACTAGGATCCTTATTATGAGGACCCCAAAATACGGTACCCCTTATTCTTGGAAACTCCCACATGCACACCAGAAGACGGGTCAAGCAGAAGCGGCCTCAAATCCCAAGCTCTCTTGCAAGCGAAACCCCCAAACCCCAAACCTCAAACCAAAACCCACCAACCGCAAGCCGAGAACCCCGAAAGTTCAGCCCGAAACCTCTAAACCCGATGCTGGACCCTAGCTCGACCCCGCATCCCAAGGCCCTCGCCGTGGTTGGACTGCCTTGCAAGTTCTCAGAAGCCCTAAACCCTTAGCCCAAAGCCCTAAGCCCTAAACCCTAAACCCTCAGCCCTAAACCCTAAACCCTAAACCCTACACCCTTAGCCCTAAACCCCAAGCCCTAAACCCTAAACCCTAGACCCTAAACCCTACACCCTTAGCCCTAAACCCTAAACTCTACACCCTTAGCCCTAAACCCTAAGCCCGAAACTCCACTACAAACCCAGGTCTCCCTCGAAGGTTTGAGGGCTTCGGGTTTAAGTCGAAGGCTTCAGGCTTTGGGCTTTACGGTTTAGGGACCGTAAACCCTAAGCCCTAAACCCTGAACCCTAAACCCTAAACCCTAAACCCTAACAGGATATCTTACAAGTCTGGAGTTCAAGGCTTGGCTTTACCAATGACGGTCCCGCGGCGTCGTTGCTGCGGAAACCTTATCGTTCAGGGTTTAGGGCTTTAGGGGTTTAGGGCTTTAGGGGTTTAGGGGTTTAGGGTTTAGGGCTTCGGGGTTTAGGGCTTTAGGGGTTTAGGTGTTTAGGGTTTAGGGGCTTAGGGGTTTAGGGCTTTAGGGGTTGATCAAGTTCTTGTACCTCACATATCACAAATCGGTAACATATTTGTTGTTGATACTCAATGAAACAAAACACCATAGGCACTACACAGCTGAGGGACGCAGGGTAGAGTGTCTCCAGTACTTTGAGGCTTTTCTTACCTTTACAGTCATGTAAGCCACCGTGCTCCGTAAGATAATGCTGTGACCTTGAAAAGTCTTCTTGACGGAGATCATGCCGGGCGGAAGGAAGAGTGTGTCACCCTGACCAAGACAGCCCTGAAAGATCTGGAAGTTGCCTTCTTTTGGGATCATGTCCTCCTCACTGATGTTGTGAAGACAGGTGACCAGGGCCTTATAGGACACTGCAGCTGCAGGTGCGGTATCGTCGTCAGCATTTGCAGCATTGGCTTTGGAAACCGTCTGGTAGAACTCGTAAAGCTGACTGCTATCGGCCAATGTCACCAGGCATCGGCCAGCTAGCTGATACTGGACCGATGCCAGTCCAGGACCAATGCTCAAATGGGTGTACACTTGATCTCCCCTGTCGCCTGCGAATGCAATGGCTTCCAGCTTTGCACGATCTGCGGCTTCCAAAGCCAACATCTCGGAGCCAAAGTCTAGCCTGACACCATTTCCATATGGCCGGGGTTTGGGCTTCTGTGGCTGAGCCGCCTCCTCAGCCCGGGTTTTAGTCCAGTGGAAAGACTTTTAGGGGTTTATGTTTAGGGTTTAGGGTTTAGGCTTTACGGCTTTAGGGCTTTAGGGCTTTAGGGCTTTTAGGCTTTAGGGTTTAGGGGTTTAGGGTTTAGGGGTCAGGGCCACTATAATGGGATATGATACATGCGATGCCACCTTCGTTTTACCAAGCCCGCAGCCACAGCCAATAATAAGGGCTCTGCTACATCAGGGTCACCTTCAGCTTTGTACCTTGAGCCGAGACTTTACTGCAATCAGGATGCTTTCATTCTGACTCCTAATTTTAAGCTCCAAAATATGTGAACCATACACCCTACACCCCAGAGCCTAAATCCTGCAACAACTCCTGGATGAGCGGCCGTATAAGTATCAGGTTGAGAGATATTTAAAATAGTCCCTATACCTAGACGCGTATTGCTTAAGGTCCCTACATTGAGCCTTTGAGCCCGATAGACTCAGATGACAAAAACTCTCTAAGAACCCTACAAAGCCCGAACCTGAGACATGAAGCTGCCGGCAACACCCGAAGACCCTAAACCCTAAACCCTAAACCCCAAACCCTAAACCCTAAACCCCAACCCCAAACCCTAAACCCCAAACACCCTAAACCTAACCCTAAACCCTAAACCCTAACCCTAAACCCTAAACCCTTAACCCCAAAAACCCTAAAGCCCGGGTTTGAGGGTTTAGGCTTCAGATTCTTTTCTGGCTTTCGGGTTCTCCTGTAGCCGAAAAGACCTCCCTTTTTAGGAATCCTTCTTATGATGTCTAAATCGATTAGGGTTTAGGGTTTAGGGTTTAGGGCCTAAAGTTTAGGGTTTTGGGTTTCGGGCTTAGGGCCTAAAGGGTTTAGGGTTCAGGGTGTATAGTTCCTTACATAATGTAGGCCTTTTGGGCCACAGATAGGGTTTGGGGCTCTAGTGTTCAGCGATCAAGGTTTCGATCTCTTGGGGGTAGTCGACCTCCAGAAACGGTTCACAGATGTTGAAAAATGAAGGTTGAGGCTTTGGGTCTAGGGTGCAGGGTTTAGGGTTTAGAGTGTAGGGTTTAGGGTTTAGGGTTGAGGCTTAACATAGCATCTTTGGTGTATGTTTAAATGTAGTATGCCGTGGCACATTGCAGCTTTATTTCTATTTACCGTGTATGTTGTATAAAATTAGAGTATGTTCTAGTATGTCATAGTATATAGTAATATATTAAAGTGCATTGAAACACGTTGTGGTATGTTGTATTGCCATAACATGAAAACTAGACGGAGTACTACTGCTCCTTGTTGTGATTCGTGTATCAGTGTCTCACACATGTTGGGTCTCAGTGTGGAGGATTGAAAATAAAGTTGAAGCTGGTTTAGGATGTGGGCAGTTCTGTAAATTGTAGGGTCCCTTGTTAAGCTCACAAAAGGCACGGCACCCGTGTAAAAAAGCGCCCTCAATGAGACCCTGATTTAGAGAACTACCCATGTATGGTTTCAGTAAGCCAGGTTTCAGGGTTTCATTTGAAATGTGAGGTCTTAGCGTATCGGGGTTGGGGATTTCCGAGCTGTTGCTGTCGCCCTTAGGGTCCAACTACCTGATAAACATATACGTTTAGGGTTTAGGGTTTAGGGTTCTCTAAACTACAAAACTACTATGCTTAACCCCAGTGTACCCGATCGTCAGGTGCTTTACACCCCGGGGGTGGGGTTCAGGCCAAACAGCCCCGCCTCCTGTGCGCGAAAGCCGGGCGACGCAGCGGGGACCTTTTCGAAACACCTACGCCCCTAAACTCCAAACCCCAGCCACATCGCATCGGTGTAGGGTAAACCCTAAACCCCTTAAACCCTAAACCCCCTAAAGTATAAGGTTTAGGGTTTTTGGATTGAACGTCCAGGGACGTGAAGCTCCGATTCTTGGATCGGTTCGCCCCAAAAGTCTGACAAGGGCTCTGTCAGTTCTGTCAAGGTATTGCAAGAATTCCGCAGGTCCATACGGGTCTTAAAGTCTTATACTGGTTGCATACTGGCTTCATATGGGTCTCATAACAGTTCCATAGGTGTCTGTCTTATAACGATACCATAATGGTATTATAAAGGGTCGGGTCTAACAAAAGTTGCATCAGGGCCCCTAAACCCCAAACCCTAAATCCTGAACCCTAAACCCCCAAACCCAAAGCCCCAATCCCTAAACCCTAACCCCTACCCCCTAAACCCAAACCCTAATCCCTAGGTTTCGAGGTTCATGGTCCAGGAGCCAAAACCTTCGCCTGCAGGTGTCCGACTTGAACTTACGATGCAGGGTTTAGGGTTTAGCGTTGCGGTTTACGGATTAGGGTTTAGGGTTCAGGGTTTAGGGTTGGGATTTAGGGTTTACAATTGGCTACAACCAGTGTAGCGCTCGGCCTTGCATTCTTTTTTCGAGCATACCCCACCCACACCCGCCAGAATCCCTTTCCCCTACCCCCTAAACCCTAAACCCTAAACTGCAACCCTAAACCCTAAACCCTGTCCTTAAGATATCCATTTTCATTGTTATTGCAGCTTCACACCCTAGGATTTCAAACTACGGTTCTAGGATTTAGCAGTTAGGATTAGGGTTCTCGAATTTAGGATTCAGGATTCAGCATTTAGGATTTGGGATTTAAGATGTATGATTTGGGATTTAAATTTAGGATTCAGGATTCAGGAGTTAGCATTTGGGATTTAGGATTTAGAATTCCGAATTTAGAATTTAAGATTTAGGATTTAGGGTTCTAGGATTTAGGATTCAGGATTCAGGATTTCGCATTTAGTATTTCAGAATAGCCCTGCGCCACAAAACCCTAAATCCTAAAGCCATTCGTTCGGATTTAGAAGCCAATATGGGGAGGACCCGGAGAAGGGCCACAAGCCGAATTAAAACACATATTTTAGGAAACGAGTTTATCCTGGGTGTCGGGCTTAGGGTTTAGGGTGTGCCTGCGGTCCATGTAGGATTCTGGCCTTCCGCCGGCTTGGGTTCGAGGCTCCTTCTTCCATCTCGCTACCAGCTAGCAGTTGAAAGTCTGCTTATCCAGGGTTTAGGGTTTAGGGTTTCTGAACTCGGCACCCTAAACACCTTCAAACTCTCGGCTGTTGAGGCTTGGCATCCCGACGACTTTACAGCAATCTCTGCATGAGGCGCCAGGGCCCCGAAGTAGCACACGGCCTAGCCGAGCCTTCTGAACGCATGTGAGCAATCCACAAAGAGAAAAATACGAGCATAAACTACGCCAGACAGAGAAAAATGGAGGAAATTCCACAAAAGCAAGCTGAACGTCGAAACATCTTTCAGACCCTTAAATCAAAGAAAAATGATGACCCTTAAGCCGAAACCCGAAACCCTAAATCGTTCCTTTCCCACGTGGCCTCGCGTCCGGCTTCCAGCGACCGCGCTCGCTGGCAGCCACCCCTGGATGCCTGCAACTCCCAAGATTTGGCTTTTGAGGGGTCTTACGGTACTCACGGCTTTTGAGGGGTCTTACGGCACTTGCGGCTTTTGAGGGGTCTTACGGTACTTACGACTTGAGTTGAAGGTTTAGTGTCTAGGGTTTACGGTTCAGGGGTGAGCGCTTAGGATGGCGAAGAAAGTAGCCCTAGGATGATGTTAACAGCTGAATGTAGTTGTCAAAACGAACGAGACTGATCATTCTGGCTCAAGTCGGTAATGATACGACCCAGGCCCCCAAAAAAAACAATCTTCAGCGAGCAAATGTGTGTGTGTGTGAACTTTGCGCGGACATGCTTACATGCACATACAAACGTACATACATACATACATACATACATACATACGTACATACATACATACATACATACACGCATACATGCATACATACATGCATATATCCATGCATACATACATACATACATATATCCTGGCATGCATGCATGCATACATACATACGTACATACATACATACATACATACATACATGCATGCATACACACCCATGCATGCATACATACATACATACATACATACATACATACATACAAACATAGATACATACATGCATGCATGCATGCATGCATGCATGCATGCATGCATACCTGCATACCTTTAGTCATGCATACATGCATACCTGCAGTCATGCATACATGCATACCTGCATACATGCATGCATGTGTGTGTATATATATATGTATGTATTTACGTATGTGTATGTGTATACATACATATGTGCGTATGTGTATATACATATGTAAGCAGACATTTGTTTAGTCTAAGTGTGTAAGTCATAGTTTATATATTTGCATATCTGCTTGGAGATAGTCATCTAATTTGTTTACCTGAGAGTCTACCTCTCTCATGGATATACTATTTACAGCTCATTTCATGTATGGGTTCATTCCTTCATACACTCATACAGTAATCATACATGCGCTTATCCATGCATCCATCCGTGCATGCCTCCGTTCGCTTTATTGCTCGATTCAGCGCTTCACTGGTCCTTGGATGGATGCGTTCATTCAGTCAGTCAGTCATTCGTTCGTTCATTCATTCATTCATTCATTCATTCATTCAATCATTCATTCAGTCACTCACTCACTCTTTCACGCACTCACTCACCCAGTCACCCATTCAATCAGTCATTCTTTTCCCTCGCGCACACATAACATTCACAGAACCTGCGACCGCATGCGTATGCACACAGGTACTAGCAGTGTAGACTTACACCTATGACCAAAGTCAGGAAGATAACCGGGGGCTTGACGTGTAGCTTCGGAATGAATGTCGAGCTGGTAGGTCTGTGTAGGGCACAGAAGTGCAGTGCAGGACTGGAATGAGAACTCAACGGGCAACGGTAGAAATGTAGTAAAAGTGGTGATGCAAACAAAGCTCGGTGTTTCGCTACAGTCAGGCATAGCGCGGGACATGTGAACGAGGAGTGCAACCACGGAACCCTTCCGAAACCCTGGCAACTCGAACCTTCAACAAATGCTATGCCTCGGCCGTTCGTCTCGGTGGGGGAACAGAAGGTGCTCGCGGGGGAGAAGCGGCCACGGGTGCTTCCCTGGCATCGGAAGCTGTCAGTCTTCTGCAGTATCCTTGGGTTCAGGGCGCTTCTACATGTATCATGTAAACTCCATACTAATTTTTTGTTCGAACTACCTGAAAATGAACTCTCACAGCTGTAGGTGACCGCTTTGAGACGAAAGCTGTTTTCCGAGCAGCACGGAAAAGTCGTTCCGCAGGCCCCAGGAGGCGTTTTGCACGCTTCTGGGTACCAAAATCCAGGGAGCCCCATATGAAGATATATACACACATACATACATATATATAATATAATATGTGTATATATATAACTTATGTGTATATATATATACGGATATACGCATATGTAATTATACGCACACGCAGATTCAGATGCATAATATGTAGAGGGTCTTGGCAAAACTTCAGCTACTATATTCGCTTAGTGGGCTCCCTGGGGATCTTGAACAAATCATCGAACTGGCAACCCCCTTTCAGAAAGGGATCTGTGCTGCCTTTGCTAACTGTTTCTTTTCGTGGCGGCTTCACGGGCGGCTCCTCTTTGTTGGAATCGCAGCCGCCTGGCATTGGAGACCGTCCCCGACCCAGCTGGCCTGCCCTTGTTGTTGAATTGCTTCATTGTTTGCACTCCTTTCGACAAGGAGCCGTCCTCCTGCACATCCTCCTCCTGCTCCTCTCTTGTTACATGTTGGCCACTGCTTTCTGGCCAGTCGGACCAGCCCCTCCACCAGTCGGACCGCCCTTTTAACAAGGAGCCGTCCTCCTGCGCATCCTCCTCCCGTTCCTCTCTTG